ATAGCTGTCAGGATGACACAGAGCAGCACATTACTCATGTTTAGTGTGATGCTGCTGCAAACAAACTTACCGTGCTACTAGTTGTATAAAAGCATAGCAATGTGATTATGTAATGCTCGATCATGGTAAGGAACAATTACGTTAGTATACCAGGCTCTTCCAGTATGCCTACTCATAAAAAAGCATGCAATGTTCCCCGGGCAGTAGCCTCACAGGCTTAGCCAACTTTAACTGTATCAAGAGGCCACATGGTGTGACTGATCCCTACACACCATGATGCTGGCACAGCTAAATACCTAGTGATCCTGAGAACACATCCCTTCTGCTAAATGATGCCTGCCTTGCTCACTACTTGCTGTTCCTCCTGCTCTTTCTCTCTGTTGTACCCCTGATTCACCCCTAGACTTCAAGGGCCTGGTTTGAGCTCCCCAAACTGGAGCTTTGTAATGCATAAAATATTTAACACACTTTTAAATGCCTCAAAAGTGGCCTACCTAAGTAACAAGTTAAGTTACTTCTTTTTTATGCTTTCTAGCCCAGCTGTGCCTCTGTGTTTCTGGGCTTTTGGAAAGGCTGAAATCCTAGACTCTCCCTTTCTCTAATCCCTTAAAATCTAGTTTCATTTGCCACCGAGTATCATGGAGAATCAACAATGACTTGTGCCATCATGTCAGCCTCCTGTGAGCACTGCCTTGAATTTGCCTTGATAGGAACCATCCCTTCTAGATCCCTGCTTCACAGCCTGAGAGCTCACAGTCTTTCAAGGAAAGCTTTTATAAATTTCTGATTCACTGACATTTAAATTACAAAGTGTTCAGAAGAAATGTGCAGCAGTTACATTCCTTAGGAACTTTAATTAGACTTCCTTGGAACTAGGAAATTCGGTTTTCTAGAATGCTGATGGCTCTGAATTCTAAAAGTGAAATTCTGCCTTTGGAAGCTAAAGCAGCTCAAAATTTGGCACTTGTTTGGGACAAATCAAAAATGGTGACTCCAAAACAAAGTCTGCCAAGTTCTAGCCCTGGTTCAGTTACTAATCCAGCTGTGATGTTGACCCTCACAATTTTTCCTCTAGTTCAGCAAGTGCTGTAGTTTGGATATAACTTGAGTGTGTTCTGCAATGGCTCATGTGGTGAAGGCTTGATCCCGCACACAGCAGGATTAATCGATGGAGGAACCTTGATAAAATTCCAATATTATAATCCCAATAGTAATTCCTTATAATATTGCAATCAAAGTATTATAAAATTGCAATCCAATTATTGTAATCTTTTTTCTAGTCCATCTCGTAATCCAGAAAGTTATATTTGTAATCCCATAGAAATTGGAATTCCAGCAAGTTAATTCCAATCTACCACCTCCAACACTACCCACAGCAAAAATTAAGACACTAAGACACATTCAAAGTTATGGGCAGCCAAGGGGTCCTAAATCCAATCCAAGTCAGAATGTATGGACAAAGGCCCTGATCAAGGCCTCTCTCAGAATTTGTTATCTTGTGAAGAAGGGAGGTGACTCAGGGATGTGACAGGGAGGATGGTGGGAGCTACCTGAGTGACTTGAGCTGGCTAGGTAGGTGGGGAAAAAAGTATCTTTGCAATGTGTAAGAAGAATGACATGCAGAAGGATCAGTCTGTATAATCCAACTAGGGTAGCATTTGAAGTGCATTAGGAGGCTGTTGCTTCAGTTTCTGATATGTAAACTTTTGTGCCCTGGGGAGTCATAGCCTCTTACTTTGTGGCCGGTACCCAGTGACATTCTTTGGAGCTGACTGGCTCTGCTATCCTGCTGCATTCAACCATTTGGGAAACACATTATAAGGAAACAGGAATTTGTCAGTTGGCCTTAAAGATTACTTATCAGTACCTCAGCTAGCCTTATTTGCATTGCTTAGAGCCAACTGAAGGGAGAAGAAAACACTGTAGGCAGATCTGTTCATATCAGTGCATGCAAACAAGACTCATTTTAACTAAAGCAATTCTTCTGCATTCAAGGGGAGCCACCCAAATGGTCTCCTACAGAAACTTTGAGGTGAGGTGCAGTAGAAGTGGCTACATTATTTGAGACATAACTCTTGGAAAGGATTAGTGGAGTTCTTGTGGAACCTTAGTCAGTTTCCTAGAGAGTGAGTTGTTATAAAAAGAGTGAGACTGCCCCCTCCCTGCTCTCTGGTTCTCTGTGTTTCTCACACGTTCTCACTACAGTGCCTTCTACCATGTTACATTGCAGTCAAGGGAGCCCTCACCAGATGCTAAGAAGATGAGCAACCCAGTCTTCTACACTCATCCTCCAAAGATGTGATCTAAATAAATCTCTTTACTTTTTAAGCATTTCGTTTTAAATAGTTTGTGACAGCAACAGAAAACAGACTAATACAATAAGAAGTTGGACACAAGCTGTAAGGATCCTTCCAGCTCAGGTCTATTGCTCTCCCTCTGCTGAGGGTGTTCTGGTTCATCCTTCCTCCTTACACCACAGAAATAGAGGCTACTGAAATTTCTTATTGCTCAAAACTACTGATTCCATCACATAAGAATGTCACTTTTTATTTTGAAGAGAATAAGACCAAACAAAACAAAACAGAATAGAGCCAATAAAAACAAAACAGTGAACATGACACACAAGACTTGAAAGCAAGATAATAGGAAATCAACAATGCCTACCATAAGGCCTTTTGTTATCTTCAAAATAGCTGCCCATACCATCAGACAATAAAATCAAACAAAACAAAATAGCATCAAATCAATCAAAAACAAAACAATGAAAGCAATATGAGGTCTCAAAACTGGATAATAGGAAATCAACAATGGCTACCATACTATTTTCTATTATCTCTGAAATAGCCACCCATACCATCCAATATAATAAAATCAAGAGTCTTGTTTTGTTTACTGTTATAATTCATGTGCTTGGAACACTGTGTGACACCTAGTAGGTGATCAAAAAAATATCTGTTGAGTAAATGTATTTGTGAAGTCATAACTCAGACATATCTATCTCACTCACCAACACTGCTCTGGAGTATCACAATCCAGGAGAACTAGAACACCATAGTGACAAGCTTGTCAAATGCCTTCCTCCTGTGCCCCATCACCACTAGCCTGGTCCCACATGTTCTCAAGGTTCTCCATACTCATGTGGCTGCCACAGTCAGTTAAGTGTGTTCACTGTATATCCTGCATCAGCCCTCGCCTCTACGTGGTTGCCAGAGTCTTAACTCCATCAGGAAACAAGGAGGTGATTCCCCCAGTTCCAAGACTTCCCTGAAATTGTTTTCATCTCACTTTATCCAAGAACCCTTCCACAACATTTTCTGGCTCTTGCTTTATGGACTCCTGAACCTCAAAACTTGATGTATGATCAGCCACTTACTCCCAAATAGACTGACACGTGTAGGGGGAGAACTGTAACATAAAAATACCAAATGCTGTCTAAAGAGTTCTGGGATTAGGAAGTATTTTCCAGTGCTTTTGTTTATTTAAGGCAAGAATCTGCCTGGACTATCTTGCTTTCCACAACTAGGAACAAAGTTTGACTTCTTGACCATGGATCCGTGGGCTTCTGCCATACTGAGAAAGGTCATGGAGAAAAGGAAGAAAAATACCAGAAGAATAGGTGAGGACCCCAAATCCATCTTGAATCAAGAAGAGTGAAAGGCTGGTAGCTTCCTGCCAACCCCCATGGGACTCCTAAGATCATGGAGAAGGTGACGGAGTTCACCCTGATGCTGAAAGACACTGCAAATTCTCAGAATTAACCTTCCGCCAGGACTCCATTCCCTGAAGATTTACCTGCTACTTGTTAGTGTGCTGGAGATCTGAACCTGCCTTGAATCTGCTGTTGGTTTCCATGGTGATTACTTAAACTTTTCATCATCCTTCCTTCAGACCTCGGAGGAGAGCTGTGCACTCTGGTTTCCATGACAACCACTTAAACATGTAGCTATGTCTGGCTTTGTTGGAAAAGAAGCGCTGGAGATCATGCAAATGAACTGGCTGCTCTCCCTCTACTTGAAAAAAGTAAACTGAAAACACAGTGACACACCTGCCAAGAAGTTTCTGATCTCGGTTCATAACAAGAAGGGTGAACATGTCATACTGCTGTTAGAGGCGGGTACGCTGCATCTCGCTGACACTGTTCTCTTCCAGATTCTCAGCTCACCCTGCCGTCTTACATAATTATCTGCACTCACCACTTATCCTTCCTCCCCTCTGCTGGCAGCTGAAGAGCTTCAAGTTCAAGGCTGTTTACCTGCCTACTGCTCGGGAAAGGAGGAAGGGAAGGATAGGCCAGAGTGACTTGCCAGCCACCCTACCCGACCCAGGCCTTGGCCACTGGGGACAGATACCACGGGCAGCAGGGCTGTCACCTCAGTTCACTGTCACTATATTATGCAGAGGTGGTCTAAGAATCAGAATACAGATCCAGGAAATGTGGAAATCACACGCACAGTCATTTGGAAGTAACTCCGTATTCCTTGGTGGTGCTCATGAAAGGGAGCCCACCCTCTACCTCAGAGCACTGGGAAATCACCAGGAAAGAGCTCTGGGGCAGTCAGAGGCACTATCACCTTTGTGGTCATGTCCTCAACCAGAGATGGCAGTGGGCTGAAAAGGAGAGTATTTAAAACATGTTTGGAAACAAGGTGCCAATATTTAAAGCTCTCCAAGTTTCCAATGAAAACATAGACTTTCCACTTCTCTTGAACAAGTGGGCCCCCATGGAAGTTCTGCTGCCTGCAGGACAGAGCAGCGTCTACCCTTACAAAGCCCTCATTTGGCCTTAATGACCTTTGCTGGACTGCAATTTCTCTCGAATTCTTGGAAAATCATTGAACTTGCAACTTGTGACAACAGGCAGAACAATACTCAGACGAAACCGACTGTCCTTTGGCCAACCTGAAGTTACAAAACAGTGAGGGGAAGGACTCCTATTTGGAGATAGGTGAGAATTATTCTGCAGCTTGCTTCCTCCAGTGGTCCTTTCAGTCACCGTGGACATGGCTGAGGTCGGCTGTGGGTGTTCCAGATGGTAGCCACAGGAAAGGTGCTGGTGAAATGCACTGAGAGTTTCCTTCAGGGATGATCTACCCATGAGACTCATGTCTGAAACCTACAAGATGATTATTGATTGTTTCTATGCAATGCAAGCCTTTCTGTTCTACTAATCAGTAGATTCATAAGCCAGTAAGTCATTTGACAGAAAATAATTATAGAGCAAAATGGTCTGCTGGGTGAATGGGACTGGTAAAGTCAACTGGATGAGTTCCAGTACGAGTGATATGGCCCTGAGTTTGGTGCTTGGTTCTACTGTTCTCTTGATCAGAATTTTCTTAACCTCTTTCTTACCTATCACTTGGAGATCAGTGTGCTTAAATCACCCAGTTTCTGTTAGGTTCAAATAAGGTTGAAGGAGAAGATTTGGCACCAGGCTGAGATTTAATGTATGTTAGTTTCCTCCAAATGAAATGGCCTTCTTCATGCTACCTCTGTTCCTCAGGTGATTATTTTTGGTCCTTTTTTAGAAAAGGAGGAGGAAGAAGTCTTGCTTTTTTTAGTCACATCATTTTTATTCTTCACTATCTGTAGTTTAACACTTGAGAGAGGAAGAAAATAGTAGTCATCATTGCAGATGAATCTGGGACTTTTAAAAATCCTCAACCTTTCAGGAAATTGACTGCGAAACTGTGTTTTGTTTTTGCAGTGAATGCTTTTAGGGTGCACTACAGGAGCAACAAATGTCAAACGAAAGATAAAAGCATTAAGGAATATTAGAAAAAAATGTCAAGACAAAAAAGGCCAAGCATTGCCCCACAGGCGAGCAGAATATGATCAAACAGTGTTTCACATTCATAAAGGCATTTTCATTCTGTAAATGAAAGAGTTTGCGGCTGACAGGTGGAGAGGATCAAACAGTTAGAGCCTGGAATCCTCATCTGCCTGGGTAAGTTGTCTTTCTCCCACCAAAAGCGGCGTTCATGTGGTAAGGTACATGAAAGCAGAACGGGTAGGGTAACTTAGAACCTCTGTCTAAAAGTAATCTCTCTCCCTCAAAAAGATAAAAATAAAAATAATCTCTCATACACAAAGCCTGGGAAACTTCTGTTTGTGCCCTTGAAAGACTCATTTTTGGGGCTCAATAACTGTGCATTTAAAATGCAAATACCTTGCAAAGGCAAAGAGACAGTGTGGAGATATCATTCACACAGGTCTCCATGTGATTTTTGTTAATCTCATTACTATCATCCCAGCGATGAACCTTTATCAGCTACGGAGTGCAAGCGGGGATGTTGATGTATAATCACTGTGTTTTAGTCAGCCTTGCTCAGAGGGCCCCCAGTGTGCACTCAGTTCTCCACTGGGGTTGTTTGGCCTCATCAAAATTAATAACTCCCTAAGACATAGCAGAGCTGGAACAAAAGGGGAAGTGTAACTGGCTTAGGGAGCCAGGGATTGCTCAGTAAAATCTGGGCTTGATGCTGCAGGTAGCAAACAGCACACCATTAAAGGTTCCTTTCTCTCTGCCCCTCAGTGGGTGATCCTTGTATTCCTCAGAGTCAGCCGTGTAGTCAGCCGTGTGTTTCACAGTGGGCCCTACTGAGCAAAGGCTCGAGGAGTATTTCCTTAACAGTGACCATAGCTACCCTTCCATCGAGCACCTGCTTTGTTCGAGGTGCGGCATAACACATGTACCATCTCTGATCCTCACGCGTGACCCGCTGACAAACGCAGGCATGGGAGCTCAGAGAAGTTTAACAGCTTCTTAGAAGTGATGGCAGTGAGAGTACAAAGGCCAGTTTGTCATTTCCACTGAGAAGGGTTGGAGATGGAAGGAAAGATTGAAATGAGGAGTGATAATGGGGGTTCAGGGATGAGTACAAGTCACATAGGAAATGCCGGTGTTCCTAGCTGAGCGGCTCTTCCAGACGTCCGCAGGCGCCCACAAGATCACTTTGTGCCCCTCGGTAGCTGTGTTCATCAGCTTTTTATTGCTGTGACAAGCACCTGAGAAAAACAATTTAAAGAGAGAAAGATTCATTTTGGCCTGTGATTTCAGAGGTTTCTGTCCATGGCCGACCAACACAATTGCTTTAGGCCAGGGGGGAGGCACACACACCGTGCAGCATGGTGCAGAAAAGTGCTCTCACCTTGTGGCATCTGAGGAGCAGAAAGGATTAGTGAATCAGAGCCAAAGAGAAGAGACAGGGCAAAGGCAGGCTCCACGGTCCTGTGTCTGTCCACTCCCTAAACAAAGCCTACTCCTAAACTCTGCAATGTCCCAAAAATACCATCAAATTAAGTAGGTCATCCACCAATGAAGTTAGATCCTTTATGACCCACTTACCTTCCAAAAGCCCACCAGTAGCCAAACCTTCAATAAAGTGAGCCTCTCCCCACCAAATATTAGAGTTGAACCAAGAGTTTAAGGACAGGCTTCTGTTATTTTATTTATTTTATTTTTATTTTATTTTATTTTATAGATAGGGTCTTACTGTGTAGTGCAAGCTGGTCTTGAACTTGCACAGGCTGACTTCAAACTTACAGCAATCCTCCTGCTTCAACCCCCTGAGAGCTGGGGTTACAGACGGGCACCACCAAGTCCAGCTTTTTATTTTGAAACAGGTCTCACTGGGTCACTGAGTAGTCCAGGCCTGGCTAAAACTGACTGTTCTTCATATCTCAGCCTCCCATCCCAGAGTACTGGAATGCAGGCATATGCTACCATACTGGCCCACGATGGCCTGTAGAATAACATTTTAGATAAGAACCAGGGAGTATGGTGGTCACTGAGATGGGGCAGGGCAGCAGGTGAGCACGGTGGGTCTGGTCACAGCCCTGCCCCTTTTGAGCCAGGTGATCCTGCCCAAGTATTAGAGCCTCAGTTTCCTCATTTCTAATGACGATATCAAGGAGACCACCTTCTAGAGTAACAACACAGATTAAAAATGAAACAATCCCCATATAAAACAGCACAATGCCAGATACATAGTAAGAAAGAAAAATCATTTTCTACCATTTGTCATGTTAGACTTCCGTTTGCTAGTAGACAAGGACAATTTGCTTACTTGATTGTAAAGACTGCAGTCTCCCCCGTAACCTCAGCCCTGCCTCTCTTCTCCTTCCCTCCTCAGCCTCCGTGGCTCCAGCCCTAAGACCTAAGGTACTGTGATCCCCAGAACTCCTTAACTTGTGTTACGAAGCCCTTCCTTGCCGTCAGCATACAGTGACAGCCTATCCCGGATTCCATCCCCACCCCACCCTGGTGCACCTTGTTCCTTTTATCGTGCTGTTGTTACCAGTTGGGGAAACAAAGCCCAAGGCTTCATCTCACCCCAAGTTCTGCTGCTATAACTGGATATTATTTACTTCGGTTCTTTTATCACACAAGATATGTACTTGTATAACTTCAGAGGGAAACGGCACCCTCCTCCAGGCGGACTAGAACTGCCAAATCTGGGCCAAGCTGAGTTTTGCATTTTTATTTAGACACAGCAGACAGCGCTTCTTTGTGCTCATCTGTTCTTTTCTCATTCTAGAAAACCAGCGGGAATGCTGAGGAGCCACACGGCTCCAGTGATCTGTATCCACACGGCTTCTAAGGAGAGCAGAATATTTTCTGTGTCCACCGACAACACCATTAAGATCTTTTCCTTTTTCTATTTGACGCAACCGCTAACCCAGTTTCAGACGGAGAAATATTCCCTTCCTATTTGACAGCGCATGGGGCCTTTCTTCCGGGTAGATGTTCACAAGGCATTTATGCATGAGTATTTGCTCCAGAAAGGGGTGTGTGCAGGCCATTGGGTGCTTTCTATGCCTGGTGTTACGGGTGAGGTTAAGCAGGTCTTCTAGCACGTAAGCCCCTGCTTAGACACTGCCCAAATAGCTCCTGTCCCCAACAGCCCCTGTTTTGGGAGGATGGAGAAGGGAAAGGGAGGACGGAGAGCAGGAACCCAGGAAGCAGCAGCCTCTTGACCTCGATGGCTTTCTCTCTTCCTTTGCAACACGTGAAACAAATGGGTCCTTTCCAAAACCCACTTGTAGGACTCAGAATTTGAGCATTTCTGACCCTGGTGGAGATAGTAATATCACTGTTTCATTTTGTTTGCCTTCACACAGGTCCTATCTATTCCTAAAATGTGGTTATCTTGTGACCTTTACAATGCACTGCTTCTCCTACAAAAAGAAGTTTGAGATATTTTTTCCATCCATCACTGCACTCACTTCCGTTTTCAGTGAGTTTGACACGTCTTCACCTCCCTTCCTCCATTCACCATCTCCCTTTGTGATTACTCTACTAGACCGTCCTGAGGCCCCAGGGAGGGAATCAGGATGACTGGGGCGGGGGACACCCTTAGGCAGGAGACCATTGTCACTGCCTTGTGTTAATCATAAACTGGCTCCTGACCACCACAGCGCAAATGATTGATAGATGCTGTGGGTTGAACTATGTACCTGCCTCAAATTTTATTTGTTGAAATTTTAAGCCCCAGGTGCTTAGAATGTGACTAATTTAGATACAGAGCCTTTAAAAAAGAGTGAATTCTGTTAAATGAGGTCATGGGGTGGGCGCTAATCCAGCATGACTGGAACCCAGTAAAGAGATTAGGAAAATCACAGACTTAGAAGTGACCATCATAGCAGGAAGACAGACATCTTGTCATCTGCAAACTGAGGAGAGAGTCTTCACAGGTGTCCTGCTGACATCTTGATTTTGGGCATCCAACCTCCAGAACTGGAAGACACTAAATTTTCATTAGTTAAGCCAACTGACTAAATTTCTGTTGTTATGGAAACCCTAGGAAACTAAAAGAGCACATTTGCCCATTCTGTGATCACAGGAACAGGTCTCATTCATTCATTCAATGAACTGACGGCCTATCATGGGCCAAGTAGTGTCCTAGGAGTGAGGGATGTAATAAATAGTTAGTAAAACTTCCTGCTTTCTTAACAGTTATCACCTGAGGTTGGGAGGAAAGCATGCAGAATAATAAATAAATAAATGAAATAAGTCCATTAGAGTTGTGATGTGTACAATGCCAACAGCAAGGCAGGTAGGAGGGGCTGGTAAAATTTGGGTTTTATTTCCTATGCATTGGTTGGGAATGACCATAGTAAGGTGACATTTAAGAAAAGGCATGGAAAGAATGAGCTAGCAAGCTGTGCCTACATCTGGGGGAAAAAGTTCCCCAGGCAGAGAAAATCACAAGTGCAAAGGCCCTGAGCTGGGAGCTGAGTGAAAGACAGATTAGAAATGGGGAAGCATGAGAGAGGTGGATTGTGAGGCCACCGGGGCCCATGAAAGGACTTCGGTGTGCTGTCATTCCATCTGGAGGTGTGGGGCACAGGCGTGGCATGATGTGACCTCTGTTTTAGTGGGGATGCCATGCTGCTGTGTTGTGAATGGAGCGCAGGGCGGTCAGGGTTGAGGCAGGGAGACGCCTGAGTGAGGGACGACGCTGGTCTGCAGGTGTGTCCACAGTGGGGCTGGAGACAAGGGTGTGGATGTGGGTCCCGTTCACAGCGCCAAACGTCAAAAACCCCAGTAAGGATTTCCTTTACTACAGCAGCGTAACCCAAACTGATTGAGTTGATTGAACGGGCTTTGTCCCATCTGGAGTTAATATTCACGTGTTTGGTTACAGAAATATAAATGTGTCTGATACTGGATCACTGCCACAGAGGCCGGTGTGGTGGTTATGTGTCACACGACCTTCAAAAATTCAAAACCATCTGAATTCTAAAACACACTGAAAATAAAGACAAGAGGACTTGGAGACGTTTCAGAGAAGGTTCTCCAAGAGAAAGAGCTTGGCATCATGGAGAGGGTGCACCCAAGGCAGAGCTTAGGTAGAAATTTATAGGCATAAAAATATCAAATCAACAGCATAACTTGGCACATGAAAATACCTGAAAAAGAATACTGAATTAAACTAAGCAAGTCAAGGAGATAAATTACAGACATTAAAGTGGAAATGAATGAAGTAGGAAACAGGCTAGGAAAACAAAAGAGAAAATCGGCAGAACCCAAAATTAGTTCTTTAAAAATATCAATGAAATTGACAGATCTTATGCATACATATATATATATATATTTGCATATGTGTATATGTACACATACAAGATAGATAACTATGCTACTAATCTCTGTTCATCAAAAAGAATAGTTTATGCTTCCATTCTTTGATCACTTTTTTGTGCCTAAATCTTGTAGTCTGAGCAGCTATTTTGAAGATAACAATATGCAAAAAGGAAAAATGTTTAGATCTTTACCAAGACTGACGGATAGAGGAAAGGGTAAGATTAAAATTACTAAAATCAAGAGAGAAAGAGGGGACATTACTATCACCCTAGAGAAACAAAAAGATCATAAAGTAATACTATAAACAATTCTAATGTCATGAGTTAGGCAATCTAAACAAAATGTACATATTCCTAAAAACACACACCACTAAAACCGGCTAAAGAAGAAAAACATCTGTCTTGAAAGCAACTTATGAATAGATTAAGAAAATGTGGCGTTCATATATGATGGCATACTACTCTGCCATAGAGAAGGAAAACCTTGAGCCCTTTGTAGGAACAGGGATGTGTCGTGAGATCATAATGCTAAGTGAAGTAACTCAGACACACAATTTTAAAATCACATAGCTCCTCTTATATAAAAGATCCAATACGTAAATAAAGTAAAAAGTAAATGACAGCCAATAAGGAAAAAAATTACTATAATGCAGCATGGCCAATGTATTTAAAAGTATACCTTGAATTAGTACAAATGTCTTACGGGTTTTATATGGTTTTGGCCTATTAGTCTATGATAATTAACTTGATAAAGATGTAAAATTAGTGAATTAATCTGATGTTGGCAAAAAATTTTTTTAAGAAATAAGGTGGAAGAGAAAGGGAAAAAAAGATTTGAGATGTGTTACATACATGTAACACAATAAATGTGATCATTTTGCACTGCAAACATGTACCAATAAAACGTTTTTAGCTTCTAAAAGAAGATTTTTAAAAGAAACACACCTGAATATGCCTATAAACAAGTAAAGAGATTGAGTTACTGATAAGAAAAACATATTGGGTGTGATGGGAAACTGAGGCAAGAGAATCAAAAGAGACCAGCCTGGCTCACTTATTGACTTAATGAGATGCTGTCAAAAAATTTAAAAAATTTAAAAGATTGGGGATGTAGCTCAGTGTAAAGGCCCTGAATTTAATCCCCAGTGCTAAAAAAAAAAAAAAAGAAGAGAAAAAGAAAAAAGAAAAAATCACACAAAGCAAGGCTAGGCTCAGACATCATAATGGATGGATTCTTTAAAAACCAAAAATTAACAACAACCCTTCACAAACTTTGGTAGGGATAAAACTTTCTGGCTCATTCTGCAAGCCCAGCACCCTGACACGAAACACAGATAAGGACATTTCAAGAAAAGAAAATCTAGGCTAATGTTTCATGAATATAAAGGCAAAAAATCCTCAACAACATACTGGCAAAATTTCCCTGAGCAACAAGTAAAAGCAAATCTGCAACATGACCTCATAGAATTTATTCTAGCAGTGGAAGGTGGTTCAACATGAAAACCAGTGTAATAAACCATATTAACCAAATACAAGACAAAAAGCATATAATTATCTCAATAGGCACACAAATTAAAGCACAAAAATTATGCTCTGATCTAATTGTTCCCCTCACAAAAAAAAAAAAAATTATGCCCTGAAAACAAGAACACAGTATTGAAGGAAATTACAAAAAGTCATAAATAAATGGAAAGACAGCCTGTTTTCATGGTTTGGAAGACTGAATGTTGTTAGGATACCCCTGCTTTGCAAAATGACCTAGAGATTCAGCACAGTCTCTATGAAAACCTCAGTTACCTTTTTTTTTGCAAAACTTTTAAACTTGATACTGAGATTCCTACAGGAATGCAAGGGATTCAAAAAGTTAAAACAATCTTGACAAAGAAGAATAAAATTGAAGGATCTATACTTCCCAATTTCAAAACTTACTACAAAACTGTAGTAAATAATACAGTGTGGCAATAGCATAAAAATAAAAATAGTTTAATTTTAAAATGGGCAAAGGATTTGAACAAGCATTTCCTTAAAAGTAGTTAATAAGAGCATGACAAGATACTAGATATCATCAGTCACAGGGAAAGGCAAACCCAAACCATGATAAAATACTACTTCATACTCATTAAGATGGCTAAAATAAAAAGATATAAAATGATAAATGTTGAAAAGATGAGAAAAAATTGGAACTTTGCTAGTAGGAAATTAAGATGGTATGGTTATTTTGCAAAACATTTCAATGGCTCTTAAATGTTAAACATAGAGAGCAGGGTGTGGTGGCTCACACCTGTAATCTTAGCGCACGGGAGGCTGAGGCAGGAGGATCTTTGTAAATTCCAAACCAGCCTGGGCTACAAAGTGAGCTCAAGGCCAACCTGAACTACATATTGAGACCCTGTCTCAAAAAGACCAAAAAAAAACCAGTTAAACATACAGTTACTGTATAATCCAGTAATTCCACTCCCAGGGATATACCCAAGAAAATTTAAAAAGTACATTTACCAAAAAAATGTTCATGATAGCTGCCACAGCCCGGGGTGAGGTGTCAATAGGGGGCAGTGTGAGGTCGGAGT